CTCACTCACTAGCACGCGCGCAGGGTCACGCGCTCCCTTGCGCGCGTACGCACGCACATAAACAAAGAGGTACGCGGCGTTAGAATATATCGGACACTCGAGTTTTTATGGTGTCTAGAAAGATCTCGACAATTAGGCAGCGTTCCAATTGAAAGTCAATGGCTACTAGGGAGGTGCATTCAAAGTCAAAGCTTATTCTGGCAGGCAGCGATCTGAAAACATAGGCGAGTCAGCCAGCTGTTCGCGGCAGGCGAGCGAGCTGAAGGCTGGAGCACGAGACAATCCATTTATCCGCAGAGCATAAGCACAGCACCTGCTCAAGAGCAGGGGGAAAGCAGAGTAACTGCAACATTTTGAAAATTCTTGTGCGTTGCTCGAGCGAAGAATCCACTGACCATTTCTAGTGGTAGAATAGATTCTAGGAGAAAAGTCTTAGAAGCTCATAACAGACCTTAGTAGTTGATTAGAAAACCATACCTCACTAGAAAAATCGCAGTTTTCAATCAAACCATACCTCACTAGAAAACCGCAGTTCGTATCCTTAGGCTAGCGAAAAATAGTGTAGCTGCGCAATTGGCAAGAAGAGTATATCTAAGCATAACATAGAATATAGCATAGCGACTCATTCCTTAGGGAAACATTAGAGAGATCGTAGCAAATAAAAAGGGAAAAAGAGAGAAAAAGCATATAGCTGAGGAGAAGATAGCTTAGGATAGTATAGCTCAAGCGTTAGGTAGCATAGCACAGCTTAGGAGAGAATAGGAAACGTGTCGATAGCGGGATAAGCGTGGCCGCCGAGATCAGGAGATTGGCGCACGGAAAGATAGGTAGGGTCTCGATGGCGATACCATCGAGAGTCACCAGGTCAGCGCCAGTAGCTGGTCCCCCTACATCTTCCTCCTCGATACAAGGATCTTGTCCAACGCCTCAGCAAATCCACATCCCTCCTCCCACGCCTTCGCATCCCATCACGAGAGCCATGGCCGCGGCGGCGGCGGCTGCCGCCGCACTTCCGCGGGCAAATGCGCATACGAGGGGCAGCGTCACTTCCTTGACACCCCGACCTTCCCCCGCTCCTCCGCCGGCGGCCAAGCGAATGAGAAATCATAGCGACATCCTCAAGGTTGTCCAAGGTCCTACTGGGCAATACAGCTCCAAGCTGGTGTGTCAGGTTCCGTTCAAGGCGGGCCAAGTAATATCGAAGATCGAAGGCATCACAATGGGAGTCCCAAAGAAGTACACCAGCGTGCAATGCGGTCCAGATAGGCATTTTGAATTTAACAGTGATCTCGTGTTCATGAACCATTCCTGCCAACCGAGTGTCCACGTCGACGTCGACAAAATGGAGATCGTAGCAGCACGAGACATGCAACCTGGATCGGAAGTTTGCTTCTTTTATCCCTCCACAGAATGGGAGATGAATCAACCTTTTGTCTGCTGGTGCGGTGCTCCTCAGGTGCTCCTCCCCCCCCCCCC